GGCTGGAAGTTAATGGCTGACTCTTCCCTCTATTAGGATTTTACAGTACACAAAAGAAAGCACTTGTCAGAAGCAAATCCTGATCTAAGCATAGGACACAATCAGGTGTGGTACATCTATATATGACTCATATTCTATGCTAGCAGGGCCAGGCGTGGAGGTGGGGGGGCAACCTTTTTGGCATTAGCCCCACACCCTCCCTGAGTGCCACTGTGATCCCCTTCCCTTGCCTGATCAGCTCCTCTGGTTTTTGCTCCTTGCCTTATGTTCCCTACCTGATCTATTGTTCTGCTTTCTGCTCCCTGCCTGATCTCCTGCTCTGCCTTCTGCTCCTTGTCCAGTCTGCCGCTTTGCTGTCCCCTCCATGCCGCATGCCACACAGAAACTTCTTATGCCTCTTGTGGGACGCGTGCTGCAGGTTGGCCATCCCTGTTCTAGGCAGACACTAAATTCTTACTTCCACATGCGGTAGAGTTCAAGGTGGCGATGAGCAACAGCCCAGTAAATCTCCGTTCCTTTACCACCAATACAACACAAACAGGAGCACAGGCTGTGTACGGCAGGCCTGCTCTCATCGGTATTATTTGAGGATATGATAAAAACTCTTTTTAGCATGCAAACAAACAAACAAAATCCTAGGCTCAAAATACACTTATACTGTTGTTGAAGAAGTTGTCACGCTTAAATATTTTTAGGCAGACACGGTCCTTCGGGTGAATCTGATATCTTTTATTAGACCAGCTTAAATAGTTGGAAAAAAAGTTTCCAACTATTTAAGTTGGTCTAATAAAAGATATCAGATTCACCCAAAGAACCTTGCCTGCCTATGTCCTTAGACCAACACGGCTACAACCTACACCCCCTTAAATATTTTAAAATATTCTTTGAAGAAACAGTGTCACTCTAAGCAGTGCAGGTTTTTGATTTGAGAGTAGACATGTCTTTTCATACGGCAAAGTAAATCACTGAACTCCTCTTTCACTAAACAACTTCTTCCAGTGGGTCTGATTCTCTTTTCACCTACACATTTAACACCAGGGCTACTCCACTGATTTCTAGAGTGAATCCAGGGCTACCCTAAGGTGGGTGAGAGGAGAATGCCATCTATTATCACTGAATTTTACAGGCAAATTGTAGTTGTGCAATAGCTTTGAGGTAATTGTGTGGTTCCTGATTGTACAACATGATGTGCTTGTTGCTGTAGAGCACACTAATCTCCTGATTTGGCTATCTTCTAAATTGTGAGATGTAATAATGAACCACACCTTATACGGTTATCTCTTCTGAAGTTATTTGTTGACCTTGGCTTAAAACTCTCCAGTAAAATTAACAGAATTTATCCCGGTGATGTAAATGTTCCTTTGACTTTAACAATTAACCGTAAAGCACTTGAAAATAATATAATTAGCAGGCCATTTTCATTTAGTTACCACTATTTATGCCTTACCCTCTAAAGCAATACACAAAATGTAGTTGTTCTATAAAGTAATGATGTTTTCAAATAAAGGCACAGCATGTGATTAACTGCAAAATTATAATGAACTCCCCTTGGCATTACATCATTACGCTTTCTCCATTAATTTTAAAGCAAAGATGTTATTCTCAAGTGCATAAATTGTAAGTGCACAGCTGCTCAGATTGCCCGTGCAAGTGAAACAATTGTACAAACAAACTAGGAAAGGGACAGGATGAAAAATTACACTCAACACACCCTTATTTCAAAAGTACAGTATCTTGTACGTAAGCATTGGAACAGACATTTGGCTAGTTAGACAGACCAGGATGGTGTAGTTAGGGATGAGCCTGCCTTGAGCAGGGGTTGGAGTAGATGACCTCATTAGGTACCTTCCAGCCCTACTTTCCTATATTCCTAGAACAAAATTTGGCAGGCAAACTCTTGTGTTCTGTTAAAAACATCTTGAACCACATACATCAGTAGTTTAATATCTGAGAGGTATGGCAAGGTCAAGACCCCAGGCCAAAATTCCCCAGCTGCAGCTAGGCTTCAGTGCTCCTGAGTGAGGGACCATGTGCATTTGTCAAGTTTCAGCAGTCCGATTCAGGAAGGCTTATTTCTTCCTCTACCTCTCTCAGCAAATATCCTTGCCTAGAAATTAGCGAGGAAGCAGACAAACCGACTTTGCCCCTCAACATGCAAATTGTTAAAAGTCCTTCTGCTTCTCCAATGAAAATTAACTGAATAACCCTCTCCCTTATACCAAACGGGGCCACCCTTTTTGGCAGGCATCCTACTCCCTGCTTCCTGCCCTGTGCTTTCTGCCTGATCTGCTGCTCTCCTTTCTGCTCCCTGGCCTATCTGCCACCAGGCTGCCAGCTCCCTCTTTGATCTGCTGCATGCCACTCACAGAGGCTGCCATTAGGGCTGTGTTAAGCTTCAGTTGGTGATTTGATTCGGAAGAGATTCAGCCCAATTCAGTGGCCGAATCTCCGAATCGAATCGGGGACTGATTTAAAGGTCCGAATCGATTCAAAGCTCTCCGAATCTTCGGAAAAGATTCAGAGGGCTTTGATGATTCGGGCAGTCCCCGGTGGCTGCAGCAGGGAGCTTCAGCCACTCTGAGCTAGTAAGTACTAGGGGGGTTAGAAGAGGGGGAAGGGGACCATGGGGG